CCCCCGCCCCGCTAAGCCCCGTCTCTCCCGCAGGATGAAGAACGGCGCAGGCCATGGCGCGGCAGCAGGGCCCCAGTCCCTGCGGGCGGCGGGGCCGTAGGATGGCGGAGCCCCCCCACGCCCTATAGCCACCCCCCCTCCCCTATTTAATTTTATACCTAATTTATTAATACCTTGCCCCGCTCCTCACACCCCCCTCCCTCCCCCCAAACCATGGACCCAACCACTGCCATGCCCACCATCCCCATGGCGGGCTTCCTCTGGATGCTGGTCCTGGGCTTCATCATTGCCTTCGTCCTGGCCTTCTCTGTCGGCGCCAACGATGTGGCCAACTCCTTTGGCACAGCGGTGGGCTCGGGAGTGGTGACCCTCCGGCAAGCCTGCATCTTGGCCAGCGTCTTTGAGACGGTGGGCTCTGTCCTCCTGGGAGCCAAAGTCAGCGAGACCATCCGGAAGGGGCTGATCGACGTGGAGATGTACAACTCCACGCGGCAGCTGCTGATGGCAGGTTCAATCAGTGCCATGTTCGGTGAGGAATGGGGGGCTCAAAATGGGGGGGGGGGGCAGCATGCCCCAAGGTGCCCCTATGGCAGCTTTCTTACCAGGCTTTTCTTTTCCTTCTCCTCCAGGATCTGCTGTGTGGCAGCTCGTGGCTTCATTCTTGAAGCTCCCCATTTCTGGTACCCACTGCATTGTTGGAGCAACCATTGGCTTTTCGTTGGTCGCCCAAGGGCAAAAAGGTGTCAAGTGGTCCGAGCTGCTAAAGATTGGTAAGTCTGGCTCGTGTGAGGCCTCCATGTGCCCCCGGGCTTCCCATTCCAGCAGCGGGATGCTGATCCTGCCTCTTCTCTCCTAGTGTTGTCCTGGTTCATCTCACCCCTCCTTTCGGGCATCATGTCTGCTATCCTGTTCTTCCTCGTCCGGAGGTTCATCCTCCGTAAGGTAAGGGCTGTCCATCCCATTTTCTGACACCTAGGGGCTCCCGGCTGCTCCCTTATCTGCCTGTTGGGCTGCTTGGTTGGCTTATGTGCACCACAGCTTCTCCAGGCATGTCCATCATTCTGTTGACACTTGGGTGAGCCCTGCAGGAGGAGCTGAAGGGATGGGAGAATGAGACCTGTAGCCGCTCCCCAAAGCAGAGCCTGGGAGGTGCAGAGGCATCACTTCACCTCCTCCAAAACATCTGTGCCAGGAGTGTCCTGCCTGGCCTCTGTGGAAACAGCTGCTGTTTCCAAGTAGTGAAGTAGGCTAGAATTGATAAGATCAGAGCTGCTTGTTAGGCTTTTCCTAAGTCCTGGTGCAAGGCTGGACCTCCACCTGTGTCAGGCTGCAGATGAAGGCAATGACCAGCAGCGATGGCTTTTTTTTTAAGACAGGAGGGCCAGAGTTGTCCCTGGCACTGTGGAAACTGCTTTCCTCCCATCTGGGGCCCCAGGTAGGGGTGAGGGGTGCTTAGGCTGGCTCCAGGGACATGCTCCCACTGTTGGGTGTGTCTGAAAGCCCAGAAAGAGAGATTGGGCACCCAAAGGTGCTTGAAATGGAGGCAGCAGCTTTAGACCTCATCTTTCTGAGGTGATCATGACCCTGGAGCGCAGGATGCTGCCAGCCCTGAGCAGGGGTATCCAGCCAGCTGTACAGAGGAACTCCAACATTTTCTTCTGCGTATTTGAGGTTACCTTAAATTATTTCAGGTTTTAGCTCTAACTATTTCTGGTTCAAGTGGTGTTAAGATCTTATCGCTGCTGGTTTCTACCTGGCAGCCCTTTAAAACAATTCAGCGTCACCGCTGTCAGAGCAACCTTGCGTAACTGGCCTTTCAAAGCTGGGCTGGCCCCGTCATGCTTCATTCTGGTGCTGAACAGTCCGGTTGCTCTGTCCTGCTCGGCATTTGGTAAGGCTCAGTGTGTTTGTACCGACACTAGACACCAATTGCTGGGCAGCAGCAGAGATTAAGCGTTCCTGCTGCTCGGGTGAGGGCCTCTCTGTGCAGGTATGTGGTCAAATAAGCTGCTTTGTGGGTAATGGACTTTTTTATTTCATACAAGTCAGCTGGAAACAGGTGAAAGCTTTGTCTGACAAATGGTTTTGTCTGAAAGTGCCTGGGGAGTTGAAAGAAAACATACGTGCAGCTGGAGACTGTGGAGGTCCACAGGCTGGGGAGTCTTGTGAGGGGTTCAAGAGCCAGGCAGCCCCTTGCCGCAGGCGCAGATGAGATGCTCCGGCCTTGGGAGTGGTCGGATGCTTGTCTGGTCCTGCCCTGGCTTCCTGGGGAGCCTCATGGGACCCACAGTGTTGTCCCATTGTCTCTGCCCCCAGGCTGCTGGAGGGGGTCTGACAGTGGCAGCCCTGTGGGTTATTCTCTAAAAGCTGTTGGGAGCACTGGCTTTTGGCAGGGCTTGCAGGAACATGGTGTTTGAGTTGCTGTCGGCAGTTGACTGAAGGCACAAGCCACCTTTTGGGGAAGGGGCTGTCGCTTGGCTGCTGTGCAGCCCTCAAGGTCTGGCTTCCTGCAGCACTGATCCTTGTTTTGCAGGTAGATCCTGTTCCCAATGGCTTGCGGGCTTTGCCCGTCTTCTATGCCTGTACCGTGGGGATCAACCTCTTCTCCATCATGTATACCGGTGCCCCTTGTAAGTACGCGTCAGAATACTTGAACCTTAATTATTAAATTTTTTATAAAACCTCCATTAAATGCACGATTTACCCCTTTTTTGCTTTACAGGGCTGAAATCTCCTAGAAGGCGGCTGGCCTGTGCCGGTTACAGAAGGCTGCAGGCTAGCGTGCGCTGAGTTCTGGGCTAGATAGTTGCCCAACCAAAGAGACCTGCTCAAACTAAACCCCTCCAGACCTTTCTCCTTAGACTTCACAGGACTGGCAGATAACATGACTTCCCCTTACCTTCTCTTACCTGTGCTAAAACTCAGGTACCCGGCTGCCACTGAAGAGATTCCTTGGGCTGCCGGTAGCGAGGCTAGGAGCAGGGATGGAGGCTGTGCCTCCTGATTCACCTTGTCACTAAGAATAAAGTAATTATCCCTGACAAGAAGAGCTGGCACCTGTACTGAGAAGAGGAGTTTGTACTTCAGTTTGAGAAGCCAAATTGAAATGCTTGTTTGGCTGTTGTGTAGGGGGACAGGTTGCGGGCAGGATGAGGAGAGGACTTGGCAGGGGAGGGTGGCTTTGCCTGCGGAGCTGGAGCCTCCGTAACCTCCGTCTGCTGGGGTGACTTAGTGTGAGCTGTTTTTGGTCTGAGCATGGGTTTCCTGTTGTGGAGGAGTTGCTGGAGGTGGGGTGAAGGCAGTCAGTGCTGGCTCTGCAGGGTTTTCTCTGTAAACAGTGGCTGGAAAAATTTTTGAAGGGATGTCAGCTTCCCTTTCCTTTGGCTTTCCAGCCTGGGGAGAAGGCAGGGTTGCTGTGGTGCTGCTGGGGGCATCGGGGCTGCAAAGCAGCAGTGATGCTGCTCCAAGATCACTTTGTACCTTGGTATCCCCAAGGTGGATTTGTGTTTATCCCAAGTCCTGAGCTGCAGGAGGGCTGGGTGAGCTCTGTGCCACTCAAGTGTGGGGTTTGTAGCCTTCAGTGAGCCGGGCTTGGTGTAAGCAAATAGCCACATGCATGGGTAAAATAGCTGTGATGTTGCTGGTGGTGCATTAGGAGCAGTAAATTATTGCCTGCAGTGGAAGATGCAGGATTTGAGCGGTCGCAAGCACCTGATACCCCAACTGGGGCTGCAGCAGGCTGTAAAATGCAAAACGTTTTCTAGAAGTCATGCTGCATGTGAGAATGCTTGTAACTAGGTCACATAACACCTTGGATGCCTTGAAGCTTGAGCTTAAGTTCCTAGGGACTTGTCGGGCAGGAGAACCATCTTCCCCCAGCAGCTGGAGGAGTTAATGGAGACATGGGGCTCTCGAGTGGGAGCAGCCCAGGTCCTGCATATCATCTCCCCGACTGGGGAAAGCGGCGCTGTTGCCGCGGCAGCTGTGCTGGGTGTTTTTGTGTGGTTTTTTTTTCTTTGACATTGCAGCAAGTGAGGAGACAAGGGCTGTGAGGAGCCTCCTGTCCCTGCTCAGGGCATGCACTGGTCCCTGATGGGGTTTGAGTTTGGGAGGGAGGGGAAAGTGTCTGCATGTGTGAAAGATTAGCTTGTGATGGGGGAGATGTAACTGTGGGGGGAGGGCTTCTGTGTGGGTTAAGCTCTCAGTGTGGTCAGTGATGGCTTTCCACTGGCATTTCTCCCTCGCAGGCGAATTAGCTCAGGGATGTTGCAGGTGGAGTCCCTGTGCCGGGAAGAGCAAAGTCATATGTCGAGGAGGCTTTTGCCCAGAGGTTTTCAAAGATCCGTTGTTTTATTTCCTAGTGCTGGGCTTTGACAAACTTCCTCTGTGGGGTATCCTCCTAATTTCGGCGGGGAGTGCTGTTGTCTGTGCTCTCGTCGTCTGGTTCTTTGTATGTCCAAGAATGAAGAAGAAAATTGAACGTAAGTAATGCCTCTCTCTTTGCAATTATTTGGGGAAGGGCACTCTCAGACTAACCAACTTCTTTTCCCAGTGGGTGATCTCATTAGCTGCAGGGCTGTTATTAGCAGGGATCCTCAGCTTCAGTTATCGCTTAAGCTGCTCTGCAAACCCTGAGTCACTGGGGCTCGTCTCATCAAGCTGGACCCTGTGTGCTCTTAACCTGCAGCAGCACCAGAAAGCTGTTCCCTGGGTCCCCAAAATAACCCTCAAAGTAGCTGTTGTGCTGCTGAATGGTGTCTGGCAGCTGATTTCTGAGCAGGGTGATCTTTCCTTGAACTGCACCGGACAGCAGGCAATACAAATGAGCCTGATTTCTCTGTTTAATAGAAAAGAAAAGGCAGGAGACAACCTGCCTGTTAACCGGTGTAACCTTTAATCCTCTGCATACCTGCTGATCAATCTTTGGCCTGGCAGATGCAGATCACAAGTTTAAAGCCGTGTAAGCTGATGAAATCCTTTCCCTGTAGCACAAAAAAAAAAAAATCTCTATTGAAAGGCATCCAAAAGAGCAGTCCTGAGTTCTGCCTCCTGAAAGCTACAGGCAGCTCTCCTGGAGCCGTGTGTGGTCTTGCATATAAATTTTGTGTGCAGTCTGGGGCACTTAAGGAACTGGAGATGAGGGGATAACCAGTGTCCTTGTCAGACTGGTGTAATTGGGGTGTGACTAACAGCTTTATAGCTGCCCTTGACATTCTTCTAGCTGTTCAAGCTTCGGCTTAACTCCTGCCTGCCAGACAGGCTCCCCTGCCTGCTAAGGCAGCCTGCCTGCTGGAGAGCATCGCTGGGAGGAGGTGGTGATGCAGGGGGAGATGAGCTCTGCAGGGGCTTGATGCCAGGGTGAGGGGCTGGATGTGACAGCCTGGCCCTTGCAGGGAGCAAACTAGCTTGGAAATGGTTATGTTTGTGACAAGGAGGTAGTTTTTGTTGTTGTCTGAAGGAGCTGACCTCATGTTTTCACCTGGAGAAAACATGCTTTTCCTGGTAGAGGGGGAGTAACAGCCTCAGCTTCCAGGGCTTGGTGCCGCTGGCTTGGCTCTTCCAGTGGGACAGGAAACCAGGCTGCCCTCGGGAGGTGTTTGTCACCCACCAGTGGGAGCTGGAGAGGAGCCCAGGCAGGCGAATCCTCCCGGCAGGCTGGAGCTGATGGGCTGGCAGAGGAGCTGGGCTCTTCTGGGCACCTTCCCATCAGCTTCAGGGGTCACGGCCACCCCAGAAGTGGGTCCAGAGCATCCCACGGCTGGCGGGAATGGGACAAACATGGCTCAAAGAGGAAGCTCTGCTGTAGGAAGAATGGGCATAAAAGCCCCATAATGGTGCTCACCACACCCCGTGTGGGTGGGTGGGGTCTAAAAATAGGAGATGAGCTGGCTTGTGATGGTTTGGCTGTTATGCCTGGGACAAGGTGCGACTGCCCAGCAGTTTCCAAAGTTCAGGATGGGGGGGAAGCTGTAAATTCTTTATTTGGCTGCCATAAATCTGAGTGGTGAGGGGTGTGGGCTTGCTCCTGGTGTTGGGTGTAGTGGTGGGAAGGGGTTTGATGGCAGCTGCCTCCCTTCACAGGAGAGATCAAATCCAGTCCTTCTGAAAGCCCCTTGATGGAGAAGAACATTAGCCCGAAGGAGGACCATGAGGAGCCCAAGGTGCCCCTGGGCGATGCCAAGAGCCCTGTTGCTGATGTGGGGTTGGCTGCATCCCACCGGGCAGTGGTGGAGGAGAGGACAGTCTCCTTCAACCTGGGTGACCTGGAGGAGGCCCCGGAGCAGGAGAGGCTCCCCAGCCTTGACCTGAAGGAAACCAGCATCGACAGCGGTGAGTGGTGGGGGATGATATGGGGGTGCCAGCGTGGTCTCCCCCCACCCCAGGTACCCCTGGGTGCTAAACCCCCACCATCTCCCTTGGCAGGAGCCGTTCAGCTGCCCAACGGCAACCTTGTCCAGTTCAACCAGGCCATGGGCCACCAGATGAGCTCCAGCGGACAGTACCAGTACCACACTGTGCACAAGGACTCTGGTCTCTACAAGGAGCTGCTGCATAAACTGCACCTGGCCAAGATGGGGGACTGCATGGGGGACTCGGGGGACAAGCCCCTGCGGCGCAACAACAGCTACACTTCCTACACCATGGCCATCTGCGGCATGCCCCTGGACTCACTCCGTGCCAAGGAGGGAGAGGAGATGGAGAAGCTGACGTGGCCTGTGGCGGACACCAAGAAGAGGGTCCGCATGGACAGCTACACCAGCTACTGCAATGCGGTGGCCGATGCCCACCCGGTGGCTGATGTGGATCTGAACACAGCCCAGGTGGAGATGGGTGTCAGCGACTGCAAGGGCAGCAGTAGCTCCCTGGAAGAATGGCATGACCAGGACAAACCCGAGGTGTCCCTCCTCTTCCAGTTCCTGCAGATCCTCACAGCCTGCTTTGGCTCCTTTGCTCATGGTGGCAATGATGTCAGGTCAGTTGGGTCAGCGGGAGTGGTGGGGTTGCTTGCTGGGGCTGGTGCCCAACTTGCCTAGAGCCTCTGGCCCTCTAGACCAGCTCTCCTTTCTCTTCCAGCAATGCCATAGGGCCCCTGGTTGCACTCTACCTGGTCTATCAGACGGGTGATGTGGCTACTAAGGTGGCAACTCCCATCTGGCTGCTGCTCTATGGAGGTGCAGGGATTTGCATTGGCTTGTGGGTCTGGGGAAGGAGAGTCATCCAGACGATGGGGAAGGACTTGACTCCCATCACACCATCAAGGTAAGGTCTGCCTTGGGGCAGGGGGAGGCTTCAGGCGGTCCTAGAGCTGCATCCTGCCCTTGGAGCCCTTCTCCATGCTCTTTTTGGGGGTTCCATTGCTCAGGTGGTGGAGCTGGGGCATGTGTGGCCCCATAATGCTTCCCTGCATCCCTTGGGGGGCGTCAGTCTGGGGCTGCTGGGGGTCTGGAGAGCCAAGTGAGAAGCTGACCCTGCTGCACAGGGTCTGCCTGGGTAGAGCGGTTCCAGGTTTGGCTTGGGCTGAGCCAGCCTGATGTGCTGGGTAGTGCAGGGGGTCCGGTGCCTGGGTTCTTATGTGCTTTCTGTCTCTGCAGCGGCTTCAGCATCGAGCTGGCATCTGCCTTGACAGTGGTGATCGCCTCCAACGTTGGCCTCCCCATCAGCACAACCCACTGCAAGGTAGGTGGAGGTGGCAGGAGGGGGATGGTGCTGGCTTGGTATAAGCTCAGCTTCCCCCAAATCCTGGTGCTATTAAGGCCGAGCTGTGGGGGAGGTTCCAAACTAGGCTGCTGGCCAGCCTTCAGGTCCCAGCTCTGCCATTTGCATCTCAATGTGGGGTGGCAGCAGCTGCCCAGGGCTGGGGGGAGTCCCCGGGTGAGGGGGCACTCGAGGAGGTGATGGGAGAACAAAACCCCTTTGATGGACTCCAGGGCTCTGCCAAGCAGCCATGGGAACGCGAGTGCTGCAGCGCCCTGTCCTCATCACTGCTCTGGGATGGCAGCTCCTTGCCCTGCTCTCCCAGCATGGTGTCTGCTGGGTCCCCAAGGGCTGAAGCAAGACCCTTGGCCCCATGGCTGAGGCTTTCCCTGGGCACCCCTGGACAAGGCTGTTGCGGGGTGGTGGGCACCCCTTCCTGCTGTGATGCTGAGCTGTGCCCTGGCTCCTCGGGCAGGTGGGCTCCGTGGTCTCGGTGGGCTGGCTGCGTTCCAGGAAGGCGGTGGACTGGCGCCTCTTCCGCAACATCTTCATGGCCTGGTTTGTCACCGTCCCCATCTCGGGTCTCATCAGTGCTGCCATCATGGCTGTCTTCAAGTACGCTGTCCCGAAGGTGTGAGGGCACCGGGGCTCTCACTGCTCCTGCTTCCCTGCTGCCACCCTCCCCTCCAGGAGCCGGGGAGGCTTTTCCCACCGTGGGATGGGGGCTACCATCATCTCTGGGGCTTCCTCAGTTCTGCGTAGTGTTGTCACTGAAGTATTTTTTTTATATAAATGTCTTGGCGCTAAGTTTCTAGAGGGGGTGCAGTGATGAGGCTGTGCCTGCCCTTGGTGTGACTCCCCTGCTGTGCTGTAGCTTTAGATTAGCAGTTATGGGAGGCCACTTTTTTTTTATTTTTAATGACTTAATTAAAATCCCCTGGCAGTGATTCCTCTTTGAGTAAGGACTAGGACTGGTCCTTGCCCCTGCTGGGAGGGCTTGGGGGCTGTGGGGCATCCCCCCATGGTGGGCTGTGTGTGCTGCGTTCAGCTTTGCCTCCATCGCTGTAGTGGTGCGGACATCAGGCGCTGCCCAACCATCCTGCTCGGGGGTCCCTGGGGGCAGCCCCTGGCCTCCCCCTCACTGCTGCTACCTCGGACTCAATAAAGATTTCCTTCTTACGCCAGTGCTGATGCTGATGCTGGGGCTGGGGTGGCCCTGGGCACTGTCCCCTGTCACATGCTGCCCCATGGCCTCTGCCCTGCCCCTCCTTTGACCCACGCCCTGGGAGGGAGCTGGGACTGGGGCAGCTGATAAGAGCCCCACGTGTCCCCCAGTGTCATGGGACTGGCTGTAAACAGCTCTGGGCTGCACCCCAGCCCTGCATAGGGGGGTTATCAGGGCCCCACACCTGGGGGGGGTGGCAGTTCCTAAGCCTGTTACCAGCCTGATTGCCCCCAACCCTGGGGCTGCAGCTGCACCTGCTGTCCCCTCCATGTCCCCATCCCCAGTGATGCTTCCTCCTGTTCCAGGGGGCTCAGCCCTGGTCAAGTCCAGGCAGGGGGGGACCCATGTCGGTGGGTCGGCACCAGGGTGTTGCAAGAGCTGTGGGTGATTGCAGAGGGATGTAGGACTGGTGCTGGCTGAGGCAGCTTGGACACCTGTGGGCCCCTGGGGGTGCTGAGCCCTGCCTGGGGGTAGAGGTGTGAGGATGTGTGGACATGGGGGCTTGGGAATGTGCCCCGTGGAGTTTGGGGTGTGCCTGGCGGAGCTGTGTGGGGACGTGACTCACGGGGATGGGAACATGGATGTGAATCAATGGCATGGGGATGGGGACCAGTCCCGTGGGGATGGGAATGTGCCAGTCGGGCCCCATGGGGATGAGGACGTTTCCCCCGGGACTGGTCTATGTCCCGCGGGACGTGGGTGCCCCTTCCTGCCCCCATCCCTCCAGTGTGAGGTGCTGGGGGTGGCCCCTGGTGCCGGAC